TTGTGAGATGGCACTGTGATGCAATCTCTGATGGTAGCAACCCTGGCATCATAGTCATTGTGAGATGGCACTATGATGCACTCTATGATGGCAGAAACCCTGGCATCATGGTCATGGTCATTGTGAGATTGCACTGTGATGCAATCTCTGATGGAGATGGCACTGTGATGCAGTCTGATGTTAGCAACCCTGGCATCATGGGGACTGTGAGATGGCACTGTGATGCAATCTCTGATGGCAGCAACCCTGGCATCATTGTCATTGTGAGGTGGCACTGTGATGCAGTCTGATGTTAGCAACCCTGGCATCATGGGGACTGTGAGATGGCACTGTGATGCAATCTCTGATGGCAGCAACCCTGGCATCATGGTCATTGTGAGATGGCACTGTGATGCAGTCTGATGGCAGCAACTCTGGCATCATGGGGTTGTTTCAAAACTATGATGACCCTGCTCCATAATCATGCCAATATACCTTGTTCTCTTATGATATATGTATATTGTATAAACTTATTGGGAGCATTTAGTCACAGTTATTGATTCGTATTTACTCGTATTCTTTCCGCATATATACACATCCTTTTAGTGTTAGTCCAATGTGTAATCAATGTGTTTCTGTTTTGATATTGCTAGTAAAGCTATAGAAAACTAGCACAACCTTGACTGCTTTAAGCCATTTTAATGATCAAGGCCACTTATACTAACGTAATAGGAAACACTCATAATTATATAATCAGCGCCAAAATTTGTTTACACGGTGTGAATCCTTGGCGGTTTATAAATACTGTGATTTCTTTGTAATTACCAGTTGTTACCAAACTCTCGATGATACATGTTATGTTCTCCAGAATGAATACTATACGTAGCTGAAGTATATCGTCTCGCTGTCACTTTATCCCGTAACTGCGTAGTGTGTATACATTACCAGGCTCGTTAAGTTTCGTATCCTGTTTTCAATTGTGATATACACAACAAAACTAGAGTCCTGCATTCCCTCTAATAGAAACTTAAGCTCAGTCAGTGTTTGTGGATGCCAAACGAGCTATTTCCAGGTTTTCGGTAAATGGTATCAAATAATTACATGTGTCTTTCCATTTATTGGTTTGTCAGCATCCATATGAGAGGAAACCATTCAAATTAATTTTGTCATGGAGATGTTGGTTGTCAATTTCAAAGTTGGATGACAGTTTAAAAACACTATTTTGTACTCCATGAGCAGTTATATGTGAAAAATTGATCCGATGATTCGACTGGTTAAAACTCCCCAGGGAGGGTATGTAGCATATCTTAGTTGAAATCCTTACTGTTCTCATTTGGATGGCATTACATTACTGATCTCATCTTTATTTCTTCGTGTCATGGGACTCATGGTATTTAGACAAAAGACTTGTGAACTAATCACTTCTGGCACACATCTATCCAACATAACATAACACAATCCAGTTTTTTTATCCAAGGTAACTGTAACTGAGATCATCGTACAAGAGAATTTTGTGTAAAATACATTTTTAAAATGCTGAGAATAAGTAAAATTGGTATTTTGGAGAAGATTTTTGTATTAAAATTGTTTTTTTTCCCATGAATTCTATGTTAATTTTGAAGACCTAATGAATATAATTTCTCATTTTTTTAAAAAATTAGGTGGATTTATTCTGTAAGAGGTGATGTCATTACCAGCTATCAGCACGTTTTTTTTTCCTCATATCTCAAATTTCTCACATTAATATAATGTACATTGCCCTCTAGTGGCCAAATATAACCTCTCCCAATCTTGCCACTTGAGGGCAGCTTCTTGACACAGAGACTTATGCTGCCAAAAATAGCACATTTAATTAATGTTCATGTCTTTTAAATTGTACTCATTTCATTGACAATGACCGATAACCAATATAAGATGACTGTCTATCGATATCTCTTCTGGAACTTTCCTTGATTGTAAGTAAAACGTTACTTGTATACTGTATGTAGTTAATGTGACATTATCTGGTTAACATGTCACAACATATACATGTAATTATCAACTTTTTTTTTTGCATATAAAAACTGGTTTATTTTTGTTGTAGTTTAATATTGACCATTAACCCACGTGTAATGGTACAGCATCATGGGTCATGTCTGCCAAAGAAAAGTAGTATAAATAAATTCATGAATTTACCAGTTGCCATGGAATCAGAGGGATACTATAATAAACATGATCTTTCATCCTTTTTTCGTATGGTGAAATCGCATCAATGTTTTCTAAATAATGGTGCGATTCAGGTAATCCCCTTCCAAGAACTAATTTGTGAGTGTCTCCATTTTTGAAGATCAAGTTAAAGTCAAACGAGAAATCAATCATTTCACACTTGATTTATTTATTCATTTCTATCTTAGTTACTCTTTTTTGTTTTACTAAATGTCTAATACCGGTACTATCTTTCGTCAGCATAGACAGGCCTACATTGCGTACAGCAATTTTGTTACCATGGCAATTGTACTGATCAAAAATTTACTCCAGCATCAATGTAATACTGCGTATCTATGTACTGGTATGTTTATATGAAGAGGACACTGTGTCACTTGAATTACAACGTGTTTATTGTGTGTTTGCCTCAAAACTCCATTGTTCAAACCATATGTCACTGTAGAATTCACATATAAAGAAAACTAAATAAAATACTCTTACAAGGACATAGCTGTGAATAGCAGGGCATACTTCAATTTATCACTTGTGAAAAGCAATTAATCCTGTACGCTTACCTCGGAATGACGTTTGTGAGGTGAACGTAATTCTTTAATTCATTCTCGTTCCACAGGGTAGAATTAATTATTCACATATATGGTTCAAGGGTAGTTGAATATTTAAAGAAGAATGCTTCTGTCTATCAATTCAAACCGTGTGTATATTACTTTGTAATTACGCGAGTTGATCATTTTTTCCATCTTGCTTGCCGAGCAAAACCCTAGTCAATATGAATTGAGATATTAAATCTATAGAGTGGTCATAAAAGACAATGCAGCAGTACAAAAATGTATATAATGATGCTATCACTTGGTTTTATTTGTATTTAAACATTCATAAATGTGTTTTTACATTAAATGTCATGATACTCACCATCGCCATGGGACAAGTAGGTGCTAATTATACTCAGACATGTAAATACAATTACAAATGTTAAGTTGTATTTTCAAATTCGTAATATCAAACATTTTCAATCGAAAGTAGTCAAAAGAGAAATTATCAACTTTTAGTGAGTTTTGATATCGTCTTTTACTTGGCTTCTTTTGGTATAATACCTTTGGCTACTACCTTAAGAGAGACAGAATAACCCTAAAATGTACTTACAGTACCCCTTCTCCTGCTCTCTCTCTTCATAAGGAATGCATACATGTACAATCAGTTACATGTAGCTTATAAACAAATACACTTTTCATTGTGTAACACCAGTAGCTTTGAAATTAGCTTGTGATTTAATGCCACTGGTATAGATTAGTGAGTGAGACTTGGATTAAAATTTGAGATAAGCTGGTCATCACAGCATTGTAACACTGGCATTCTTGCTTCTGAACTTTGAAGTTCTAAACATAGTTGAATGCCTGTATAATTCAATGTTGGCATTCCATTGTAACTTTATCTTGACGCTGGTAGTAATTGCCAGGCTTAGCAATGTCTTTGATTTGCAATATGTTACAGGCAGCCTCTGAGTGAAGCAATGTCTAAAATGCAGCAAGATGTTGTGGGAAGTTTTAGAATTACTGAGGTCGCAAGATACTCACATTTGGTTTTGATATTCTGACATGAGAGAATAGCGTAGTTTTTACCACTCAAGATTAAAATAGCTTTTTGGTTCAAGATGTATATAGCGTACATGTACCCTAAAGGCAAGAGAGTGATGGACAAAGTAGACATACATAGATGGATTCATTACATACATTAATAAAACACAGTGATATCGATATAGTCTTGCATATGTCAGTCATATTTATAATCAGTCAGTATTATTTGTGATCATGAAAATGCAAATTCGTAATTTCCAGAAGCATTGCTTACTGAAATCCATCATTATTCATATGTGAATATCAATGTTGATTAATTGTGTCATATGATGCAAACAAGTAATGAATGCAATCATTGTAAAATTCATATAATTATTTTGGGCACTAATTGTCATTGGTCAGCTGGGTACACATTAAAGTGTGCCTTGGTCATTATAATACCTCTGTATTTTTCAAGGTCAATATATATATATATATATATATATATATATATATATATATATATATATATATATTCCCTGGTCAGTATACTTCCTGGTCAATATACTTACTTGTCAATAAACTTCTTTCTGGTCAATATACTTTTTGATCGATATACTTCCTGGTCAATATACTTACTTGTCAGTATACTTCTGGTCAATATACTTACTTGTCAATAAACTTCTTTCTGGTCAATATACTTTTTGATCAATATTCTTCCTAGACAATATACTTCCTAGTCAATATACTTCCTGGTCAGTATACTTCTTGGTCAATATACTTCTGGTCAATATACTCCCTAGTCAATGTATTTCCTGGTCAATATACTTCTGGTCAATATACTCCTTTGTCAATGTATTTCCTGGTCAATATACTTCTGGTCAATATACTCCCTCGTTAATGTATTTCCTGGTCAATATACTTCTGGTCAATATACTCCCTAGTCAATGTATTTCCTGGTCAATATACTCCCTAGTCAATGTATTTCCTGGTCAATATACTCCCTAGTCAATATACTTCTGGTCAATATACTCCCTAGTCAATATATATCCTGGTCAATATACTCCTTAGTCAATATACTTCTGGTCAATATACTTCTGGTCAATATACTTCTGGTCAATATACTCCCTAGTCAATATATTTCCTTAAAACTATTTATTTATATTAATTTATATTTAACTCTTCAATTGGACATCTATTCCATAACTTCTGATGCAACAAAGAAGTGGTAATCACTGATAAGGTTATGAGAAATATATCTGAGATATTTCATCAGGGAAAACCTAAAAACTGGACGAGGCTAACCTTTTCATCACAAGACAAAAATAGCCAAATTTTTTGTATAAAAACTAAAACTTAAACTCAAATTTTGTCTGTTGGCTCCAAAATTAGGGTTCCTTTCCAGAAATATTGAAGAAGGGAAAAAAGTGCAAACAATTTGGGTGAAAAAGTCTGGTGGTGAAAAGGATAAAGCAGTGATAATTCTCATGAAGAACACCTTCTTTATTAAAAATTCAAATATTGACATTTACAA